CATGCGCACGCGCACGCGTACACACACACACACAGACACACAAGACACCATACACATTCACATACACACAAGACACTATACACATACACACACAAGATACCACACGTGCATGCACATGCGCAGAGAAACACACACATACACACACATGACACCACACACACTCACATACACACATAAGAGACCACATCCACATACACACAAGACACTATACACATACATACACACATATAAGATACCCCCTTCACACACACACACCCTTTTACCCCTCAGTGCTTTGAAAAGGAGTGGCTTTCCTGTCCAGTGTCATACTCTTTCTTGTGACCATTTTTATGCTGTCTGACATAGTATGGCACATTGGAATTAGCCATCCACATATCTAAATCATGGCTGCCTTTCCTGGGGTTACTTTTGCTTGCTTGACTATGGATTCTACAGTCAGAAATGGGATGCCATGCTTCATTTTCACTTCATCTAACACAAAGTGTGCAAGAGCTTGGTTAGTGAATGCTTGTTGACTGAAGGAAAGAGGTAACATCATTTTGCGATTGCCTCGCCTCTTCTGATCTACTGTTTTAAGCAAGGGTGACTGCAGTGCTTTGGTTTGCAGAATGTGTGAATTAAAAAAAAATAACTGTGAAAATAGTTTTTAGGTTTCTTTTGTAAAACTCAGTTAATATGCTTTAACCTTTATTTCTTAAGCTTTTAGCTTCAAAAGACCAATAAGATATACTATTTAAAAGGGCTGAAGGAGATAACTTGTTTACAGTTCATTGACTTGGTTAGGAAAATTATATATATAATACATACACTATACTATACTACATAATACTATACTATGCTATGCTATTCTATGTGTATTTGTGTGCATGTGTATGAATGTGTATGTGTGTGTGTACATATGTAACTCTTGTGCTAAGTTTGTCTTTGCCTGAAGAGGAAGCATGCGTCCTGCTCAGGACTTCAGTATTCCCACTTGTATGTTACCTCCTTATTTTATTATGAACATGTGGTTTCAACACTGACAGTCCCTTATAACCCATGAACACAGTTTCCTATGTGCATCATTATAAAAATTTTTGGTTTTATGAAAAGGACATATTTTTACTGTCCAGTTTAATTTCCAAAGAGTCAGGTTTGAACCTAGCAAGTCAAGGAAGAAAAACACAGTTTTAATATTCATGACATTCATATATACATAGCAAAGCACTTAGCACAATGCCAGGCATGTCAAAGGCTCAGTAATTGACAGTGGCATACATTGTGCCAGGGTTTCTGCTAGGCACTTTGCATATGGGCTCTCCATCACGCTGGAGATGAAACATAGTCACTGGTCGCCCAAATTGATAATGTTTAGACATGTGTGGAGGGGATTTAAATCTTTTACGTAAGCCCAAGACGCGTCCTTTGTTGATGGTTAAATCCAATGCACAAGGGACTGAAATTGGTGGGAGAAAAAGCTGTCACTCAAGAGGCGAGATGGTGACGCACTCAAGAGTTACGGATCTTACTCTACTTGAGTTTAAATCCCGCCCCTCTAGGTTACTAGTTGAGTGGCCAAGGATAAGTTGCTTAGTAACAAGCTTCTTACGACTCAGTTTTCTTATGCAGATGCTGCTGCTAATGATGACAAAAGTAAGCCCCACCTTATAAGATAGTTGCAAGAAGTGAAGTTGATGAATATAAGGAAAGATCTAATATGTTAGTATTCATAAGAGCTTTGGACATGGCGAGATGGCTCAGTCAGCAAAGTGCATGCACGCAAGCTTAAAGATTCGAGTTCAATCCTCAGATACTATGTAAAAAGAAAAACTGAATATGGTGGCAGTGCACACTTATAATATCAGCAGTTGGGAGACAGGCAGAGGGATTCTTTGGTTTGCAGAATAGCCAGCCTAGCTTACTTAGAAAGCTCCTGACCAACAAGAGACTGTCTCAAAGCAGTAACAAAAAGAAAGCCAGTGAATACCTTCTGAGGTGTGACACCCATGACAGTCCTCTGACCTCCGCACGCATGTGCACACACAGAATGAGAGGAATCTCTTACTCGGTGTCAGCTTCTCTGTCTACAGAACACAGATGCACAATCTGCCATATTTTCTCAGAGTTATTATGAAGATCCAACTAAGACAGTGTGATATTTCATATGTCATAGAGCAATCTCCAATAACAAGGCTACTTTCTTCTAAGTTACCATTTTACTAGTTCTGTTGATTGAATTGGTATCAAATTAACTGTGATTCTCCATCTTTGGATCCAGAATCACTCCACAATTTTAAATTTAGAGAAACAGTTTTCTTGTTGAGATGAATGATCAGTGGACAATTGTTTCCAAGACTTCTGTGGCTCTTTATATTAAAACCTAGAAACTGATATTCTCATGGCTTATAAACTTTCCCAAGGGTTTGTGTGTGTGTGTGCACGTGTACACACACACACACACACACACAGAGTTCTAAGCATATGATTTAAAAAGTAATAATTAAGCAAAAGAAAAGTACCAAGAGTTTCACAACTTTGGTTTTCTTACTCATAGTTTTCAGTATCTTGGCAAATACAAGAAGTTGTTCTTTCACGTTTCTCAGGGGTTGCTAAAGAGATGAAGCAAGATGGGGAAACAATAAGTATGCACACCAGGGCTGTATCTTCTGTTATGATTTTAACATGATGTCTAACATTATATAAATCCACAAAATCATAATCATGGCAGACAATTTTCAGTTATACATTTTAGATACCTATTGCTTAAATTTTTATCACATTAAATACCTTAATCTGAAGCATGCCCACCTTTTTCTTGTTCCCAGGACTTTTGTTCTCCATGTACCTATTAGGCCACTGATCCACTTACTTACCTGTCTGCTTTATATGTGGGCTTTGGAGTCCACAAAGATAGGATTCTAATTTGTGTTTGTGTGTGTGTGTTTGTGATAGAAATAGATAAATAGGTAGGTAGGTAGATAGATAGATAGATAGATAGACAGATAGTCAGGAAATGATTATATATATAAATAACCAAGATTCATAGTTGAGTGGTAGTTCTCAACCTATATTTTTTGACACTTTTGGAAAATATCTCTCTAAAATTATTTACATTATGATTCATAATTTATCAAAATTAAAATTATGAAATAGCAATGAAATAATTTTATAGCTGGGAGTCACCATGACATGAGGAACTGTATTAAAGGAACTGCGTTAGGAAGGTTGATAACCCCTGTATTGGAGGATCAGGGCAGAGGTGATATTCAGTATGTAAATATGTAGCCTCTCAGAATATGGAAAAAGAATGAATTTTGACAATTTTACTAGGTACTATCTCACATAAATGTGAATAGTGATTTCTTCCTAGTTCTGTTCATAATTATTTGATTCTGTGATAATGATTTAGGTAAAAACATTTGCTGAACAATTATTCTTTGCCAGATAATGTGTAAAGTGCTTTCTATGCATAACCTTTGTCAACTCTGTGTAATTATTTGTACTTTAAGATAAGTCATCTATCTTGTCTAAGGACCCCCAGTAGCAAGTGCCAAGCAGTGCATGAGCCAATGTTTAAGTAGACTAAGTCATTCTAACGCCTAACGTAGTCTAATGACTTTGAAGAGAAACAAATGTCTCCAAAACCCCATCCAGTTGCCCATTCAGTCTTCTCCTGGGTCCTATGGTCTATCCTGGGTCTTCTCTGAGGTCTTTTTCTTGTTTTCCTTTCCTGAACTGGGGATGGATCTGAGTAGTGGAATGTTCATGAGAATGATTCTTGTTTGAACCCAATATCAAAAGATAAACAAACAAAACTCTAAACCAACCAATAAAACAAAAGCTCATCTCACTTATAACTTCAGAGAAGTCTTGACTTGCCTCCAAGTTTAAGACATCCTTACCCTTCCCCATCATCTCCAAAAAGTCTATTCTTAATTTTTTAATAGTGAAGGAAGGAAGGAGGGAAGGAAGGAAATTTATATTTCCCTGAGCCTAGAGTATATGAAAATATGGGGTTCTTATTTATCTTGTTCACCTATATACCCAACCCTAGAACAGGGAAGAACCATAGAACCCCTACATTCATGCAGAAGCTCAACAAATCCAGGTTGAATGATGGAATTCTTCTGATGCCAGAGCCTAAATTAGTGCTTAGAGTGAGCAGACTGTAGTTAGGCCAGCAATATAAATTATACCAGTGTAATGTAAACACTGACTTGTTTTTTTTGCTACTTACCCCATTCCTATTCTTACATGGCAATTGTAAATATTCCCAGTTCCTTTTCACTATCTATATTTGCCTCAAGTTTAGGAAGACTTATCTACTAAAATTAGACTTTAGATTTTGAGCACATGACTTAGTAAAAAATAGTCCTTATACAAATGTATAGAGATGACACAAGTCATTTAATTAAGTTTATATAATATATGCATTTTTATTGTTTTAGTGAGTTTCCTCTAATTATTTAAAAACAGAATTAAATTTTTACTTGTGGGGAAGTAGTTCTTGATAAACAGTTGATAACTCATAAATTAGCACATAGTTTTTAGAAGAAAAATTGTCGATATCTATAAAAGTAGCAACTTTCTAGGGAAGAGATTCCGTATTTTGCACTG